TTGGACTTTCACGATGGGGGTTGGTGGGTGTCCCTCAGTACCAACCACTACTGGTGTCCCGAAGCTGACTTATTGGTGGTATTCTTCTTACACTGGCTCCTCATATGTCCTTGCTCTCCACAGTTCCAACAGCCTCTCTGGGTAGCAGCCTTTCCTGTCGTGGCATCTTCCCTGTTACCGATGATAGGACATTTCCTGATGAAGCAGATGAACCCCACATGAACCCCCCCACGAAGTTGGTGGCAAATGCTTTGATTAGTTTCTTTAATTCTGCGCGTAGTCTGTAGAAGAATGGAATATAACTTTGAAAGAGAATTCTTAACTGAATTGAAACTTTCATGTACAGATTCTGTAACTAAGAAAGCACAAGTCTACTGGGACATGTAAGATATTCAAAGACAAGTAACGTGTAAGATAATTGCAAAACAACCCACTACTAAAGTAGTCTATATACATATTACTTCACCAACAACCATCTGGTCTGACCATGTGCCAGAATCTTTGCATTTTACAATCTGATTTTTGTTTATTTAGTGCAAAGCTAAACAATGGACTAACTACGTTCTGTTCACTGCAGTCAATCAAACTCCGGACTTTAACGTTGTAACTCTGCAAACTTACCGCTGGCCCACTGGTGGACGTTTGAAAATGATTGAAATTCCTATAAAACCACTTACCGTTTAGAAGTAAACTGAAATGGTTATACACGTCTCTTAGAAGGCTTTCAAGACTCTTCGGGAGCTTTTTTTTTGCAGTCATTTGAAGCAGCTAGATGCATCACATGGCAAAACAAATTTGTGGAAATGTTTCTTTGATCATAGTTGGAATTGAACAATTAACTCCCATCATAACATTTACTGCTAGTCAAAGCCTAGTATTTATAATTGAATTTTCCCTGTTTGTGCAGAAATTTCTGTCTCTTCGAAACTTTCAGACCTAGAATCAGTATAGATAGTAAGACAGTTATTCACAACGGCCTTGTTATCTGGAAGAAGGTATTTGGGCCATAACATCAATCGGAGTAAACAAACAATTTTACACCTACTTGTTTGTGCTTTTCATTCTTTTTAAAGAAACATTTTATTACATTTGTATGATTATTTTGCGTCCCGCCTTAATTTTCAACACAAATTATAAGATGTCCTGGTAATAGTTCTCTTGAATATTCTTTGTATTTGTTTAATTGTATTTTGATTACTTTTGGTGAATTCAAAGAACCACTATTTTAATATTTTATGTTATCCCTTTTTGGAATTATAACTACTAACAATTACGATTTTGTTACGAAAAATATTTCAATGAGAAATTTCGGTGTAATTAATCCATTTTGCCTATTTTGGGGTAATTTCTTTTATTGTAATTTATTGATTGAAGGCTTTTATATTGCTTTTGTTAACTATATCTTCTATTTTATATTTTTATTTAAATTGGATAATTTAATATTTATTTTTTATTTCCAATCAATTTATAAAGTAGAATATTGTATCTATATTGTTAGTTTGGTTTTAATTTAAACTATTCGGTTTAGAAATAAATTTGGGAAAGATAAAGTTGTGCAGAACTATGCCCCTAAAGAAGTAAAAATGAAAATAAATACAGATGGAGTCAACTTTTTTATATTATTATTTTCGAATTGTTTATATAATTTATATTGTCCTAGTTGGTATATTTAAATTACAATACACATTAATAAAAATATACTCCGGTAGATGGCAGTACCAATTAAAACATTTATTTTTTTCAAATGATAGCGCATCATGGTTCATGTAGTTATAATCACATTCGTGGGTTGGATAGTACTCAACTGAATATGTAGGTTTGTAAATTATAGGTAAGTTTGATTATTGATTTTTTAAGATTGCAAGTATGATTGGGTTGTATTTTATGCATTGTTATAGGTTAAGATAATACTGTATTAATCTGTTAATCTAGTAAATATTACATGCACAAAAATTAGGCTATTGAAAATTTAATAATATGCACAAAAATCTCACTTGAAGTTACTGTCAGTGTCAAGTACAAAAGCAGGAACTTGAACAAGTAACTGCTAGTAATGATAAGAAGTTAGCATATTAGCTTTATCTAAAAATTTCTGCTGTGAAAAGAGACCTGTAACAAATTAAATTGATTTAACGCATACTATTCCAGGTAAAATGAAATGCATCAACTTTCATTTATAAATATCTGTGTATTTCATATTTTTGTCTCAGTCATGATGTTTCAGAAATATACATTACTCGCAGAAATCCACAATAGTGTAACTATAAAACTATTTTACTCTTCGTTTTACATGTTAGTTGCCTGTAGAATTTGGTGTGGCTTTTCAAACGTGCCCGTCTTCCAAGAAGGTAACCAATCGTAACTTCTGCTGAAATGTGACGTTTAAAAATACAAAGTGGTAAGATAACTTCATACAGAATGTTTGTGTTGTCGTTAACAATCTGTTGTGGGGGTTGGGGTCAGAAGGGAAAACTCACTTAATATAGTGTAAGATTAATAGCTTGAACTGGCGAAATACAAGATACTATTTTCTTTTATCTTGGAATATTTATTGAAATTTGAGTGCTCAGTTTCTAAAAGATCGTTCAAAGATTATGTGCTCACTAAATGTTCTTTAAATGTAACACTAATGCAACGTTGTTAGCCTCTTTCTAAAGAGGAGAAAATAAAAATAATTGATTTCTAGTAAACTTAAAATTTGGTTAAGTATACTATTACTTGAAATACTGACGGTGAATAATAAGAGTGAATTTATAATAAAAAATAATATCTCTCTTTGGTCATTGTGGGTACAACCGTGTGTGAGCATACTTATAATATTCATATTACTTTTTATTTAACACACTTTATTAAAAAATCAGTCACATTGGATATAATGATACATCTGATGATTTTTTTTTTTACTGTTAATGTAAATATATAGCTGATTTATTGAGTCACAGCTAGTTTAATTTATGTGCGGACCAGAGCTCTTTTATCACCATTGGACAGTTATAAAATATTACAGGACTTGTATGAGTGAAAAAGTATCGTATATTAGTTATTTTCACAACTTACAATAATATTACCAAGACTTTTGTGTCCATTTTATTAGAAAAAAATCACGCCTTAAAGGGATATTTATTCACAAGTTTTATTGTATTACAATTACCAAAATTACAGTTCAGTTTATTTTGCAACTTTTGAGACGATATTCAAGAGCATTAATTACTCGTTGGCTGATTAACAACATGGAAAATATTACTAGAAATCTGGCTGCGAGTATTTTAGTTACTTTTAAATACATTTTATTAACATCAATTACACAGTCAGGTTATTTTTTTAACATCACCCACAGAGATTTTGGTTATACGACCAGGGTAAACTCAAGTCATTGAAAGGCTTATTTCAACTAAAGTTTGTGTGGCTTTGGTTGGCTGAGAGTCAAGTTTGTACGCTTGTGACAAGGTATCACACATAAGCGAAACGCTATTGGTTCTCAGTTTCTAAGCACGTGAGAAAGAGTTACTTTAAGGAGCGATAAGCCGGTAGATGGATTACACAAGAAAACTGTTGTGGAAGGGAAGGAATGGAATAGTTGTATTAGTTATATTTCTTCTCTAGGTCCATAGCACGTTGGATAAAAGTTGGCTGCATGCACAGATTAACAAGCTACTGTTATCGGAATTTTAACATATTTTCTGCTTGAAAGGCAAGTATTATATAGTTCACGCACTTGATTGTATTGAATCCATGTGATTTCGTTCGTAAATGAATGTGTTATAAATATTATAAACTCACTCAATCTGATAAATGCCCTGTTGAAAATATGTTTAACATTCGCAAAAGCACTGGATTATTTTGTGATATAATAAATGAGCTGTACTGGTTAGAATGTTTGTATTTGATAATAAGTATATATATATATATATATGTAATGCACTTTTTTAATGTATTCTGAGCATTTAAAGAATCTCTGGAATTTTGTATTGTCAATTCTTTTAAACTGAGTGTGCAAAAATGAACCAATTACTTGTTTATGAACTTTTTATTATAAATAAATTATTTAGTTGATTTTTTATTTTATTTTAACCAATATAAGAAATTCTAACAATACTGTGCTATTACAATTGCACTGAATACCTCTCTGTATGTATAGGAACTTGTATTATTATTATTATTTAGAATTCCAGAAGGACAGATAATTTTGTTGACTTTAGAACTGTACATCTTTCAGGTAGACCAATGGACCTCGATATATATTTATCTGCTAGCCCCCCACTCTTCAACCATAATGTTTTTCATGGTTTCAACACTAAACCTTCGTTCCGTAACCATCACATGCTACCTCCTGTTAAAGATTTGTATTCGTATCGAAACTCTTCCACAATGTGTCCAACTCATTCATGCTCCCCTATACGAGATGATGGAATCACAATGGAATCTAAAACCACTATCAGGGGCAAGAAACGCGTGTGGTTTGCTGATGATAAGGGATTAGAGTTAACGCACGTTCGATTCATGACAGAACCATCAGATTGCCCACCTAATTGGACTGATGATTTTATAGAGCACATAACTCTGGGGGTGAAACCACAACTTACAGGGGATAGTACATGGGAAGCAACTTTCTCCCAACCAGCTTCCGATTATATGGAATTCAGAAATAAGCTGGAACGCAACTGCCTGTCCTTGGAAAATGTGATTGTTAAAGATGATGATCAACTTACTGGTACTATTAAAGTAAAAAACCTGTCTTTTGAGAAAGAAGTGTTCGTTCGGGTGACTTTTGATCGCTGGCTGAATTACTTAGACTTACCAGCAACATTTGTTCCTAATGGAATGGAGTGTTCATTATTATATGATACATTTTCGTTCTTGCTTACTATTCCGTCGTCAGCAGTTAACTTCGAAGTGATAGAATTTTGTGTGTGTTTCAAAAGTCATAATTCTGCATTCTGGGACAATAACGGTGGTTCTAATTACAAACTGATTAGGAAAAATAAGGAAACTGGGGAATTGCTTGATATGCGAAGATTCGTTGACGCTTTCAAAGCCGAGTTTGATTCTTGGGCTAATTTCGCTAGCTGGAATCACTTAGTATCTCAAGGGCCATACTGGTGAAGAGAAGACCAGAACGACATTGTGTACAATTTGTATGAAAACATTCGAAGGAAATGTGCAGGTTTTGCATATGTAATAAAACATATAACACCAATGAACGCTCTGACGTTTTTCCTGAACTTTATTTTCTGCTTTTTACATTTACGAGTTAGTTCGCATTTCAAGTACTGAACAAATTATAAAATATTCTTAAGGTATATATTTGTTCCCACATGCTTCTGAAAAGTTTCAGTTGAATACATGTTATGAGAATCTCACGGAATTATCCGTACCAAGTACTTCCAGATTTGTTAACTAACCAAATCTGAATATGTGGATACACATTAATGCTGTACTGCATTAAGCCATCGAAAACAGCTAGAAATATGCATAGCTGTAACTTAATGCGATTTATTAATTAAGAATTTCCAGCCAAGCATTTCCGTTGATTTACTTAAAGGATTACAGGAACTTTGCTCTACTGTAAGTATGATTCGAATTTTGATGTGTTCAAGTTTAACTGTGTTTATAAAGTTGACAACGATGGTTGATGTAATTTAAAGTATTATTCTTTTATGTACTTCAGAACAAAACAAATTTCTGAGATATTAATCAAGAGGTATCGGGATCCCATTTATCACCAGTTTGTTAAAGTGGAGCCCAAGTCCCATTAAATATTATTAGTATTATCTTTTTTTAAGTATTATTTTTTCACCTAATTCACTATTTCTCTTCCAGTAGTTATGGAAAACAAAGCTGCCAATCCCCACAAGAGACTGGCAATATGTTTTATGTTAACCTCTGAAACACATTTAAATTATTATGTTTTTATTTTTTAAGCGGAAGAAAAGAAAGAATAAATGGTATTAATTTTTCTATTATAGCTAAAGAAGTACTTTTATTGAAAAGATGCTATAATACTATATAAACGCATATTTCTCAGGTTTTCCAAATATGTTGTACTGTAATTTCCATTTCGCGGTAACTGCTCTTACCAAGTTTGCTTTTATTTCCAATGCCTAAGAAATTAGAGTAATATTCTGGTTAAGTTCATCACACTTAGATGACCATAGCTCTAACGTACCTAATGAAATATCAGCCAGTTTGTAAGGGTTAGTGGCTGGAGTTTTTTAACGAAGTTAGATACATTTATTTCTTATATCCATTTGTTTAATTTTTAGTTACTTATTCAAAGAACGAGAATCAGTTAGAAACTGAGGGGGCTTCTCTCAGTTTCGCCTTCCTTTCAAAATGTTCGTCAACATAAAAAGAAAAAAATATATACAATAAATTATTTGGTTTTTCACCATTATTCCAGCAGTGGTTATCACGTTTTATGGAAGGCATACTAAATTATATATGACGTCAAATATATTTCAAACTAGTATAAAAGCCCGTCAAAAATGACGGGAAATCATTGTTGAATGATAAATGAAAATTGTAGAATTTAACTAAAACGTATTTGTCTATACCTCCAAAATGTACCTACTCTTCAATCATTTCATCAGTCTCGAAGTAATTCTTTAATCACCACAGTTTTAGAAAAAAACTACGCAGAAAAATGTCATCTTGAACAAAAGTACGTGTGTACTCTGAAAGAGACTTAAATAGCACTTAGCCTTTTCACCGTATTCTAGGTCAGGAAGTAGAAAACATAGTGAGGATATTCCGACAAAAATGTTCAACTCTTTCGACTACAAAGGATAAAATATACTTGGAAGGAAGTAATAAACGTTTCATTTTCTTTGTTTTAAGGCCAAGCAGATAATATGTTAAAATACCAAAATAATTATTAATATTTATTTATCACACTGACTATAACGTTAGTAATAGTAGGCCTATTTTTAGTCTAATTTAAGCACTAGACCTAATACATTAAACGTAACGTAAGGCTTACCTGAAACACTACTTGTAAATTTTATTTTATAACTCAATGTCATAAAACTTCTGAATTAAACTATTTTGATGTTATATCACAGAAGTTATGAAAAATAAAGAAAGAAAAAAAAAACTTTTCTAACAAATTAACATGAATATTGAGCAATCCACATAAACACCGTGGTTGGCCTAAGAACAATCAACTGCTAGTTTTGTTGCTGAGCGTTGCCAGAAAACGAGCGTGAAAGCGTTCTCGACAGTGACAAAGGGAATAAGCCTTTTATAGTTAGTGATACAAATATTTTATGTAAAATCGAAATTTTTTGTCCAGTTACTTCTGACTTGTTGACAAATATGAGTAGCAGTAAGAGGGAGAAGCTTGCTTGGACTGAAGCTACCCCAAAATGTGCTTTGCCCCCCCCCCCCCATAGCTCCCGCACTCAATGAATAATGCTTACCGTTAAAGCTGTTTCACTTCTTACAAATACTGCAATATGTGTGAGAAGGGTAGAGTGCAGGCTCCTCAGTTTTTGTCCTGCCCACCATATAAACTCATCCTGCTCATTGGAAAGAGGCTGGTTCTGTGCCTACTGACAATAGATTGCACATGTTCATATATAAAGGTTTTCGCACTAAATAATTATTAGCCATAAGTGTAAGTTTCCCTAATTTTTGAATATCAGATTTTCTTACATTTTAGATTTCGGTTTAACTTAGATGCAAAAATATGTAGTATTAAGTATATATTTTAAACCTTTTGCAGCTTTAGATTTACGACACATTTCTTATCGTGGATCTTAGGCCACCCAAAAAAAAGTTATTGGTATTGCCGACCCGATTTTTAGCAAATGTTTATTTTTATTTGCCGTTACAGAAAAACAACCCAGACTTTCTATAAATTCTTATCGGTGTCAATTTCAAAATTAGATCTGTGTTGAGACTGCAATCTATGTACACTTTGCTGAATATATGAACGCAACATGACTGACATTCTACGCTAAACGGAAGTTTCTATAAATCAGAAAATATTTGAAATTGTAATAAGTCATTTGTGCCTTTTTGATTTGTATAATTAAAAATGCAAGATTCTAAATGTTGTGTGAAACACATGGAAAGTGCTTGTATAGTTAAATTCCAGTTTAAATTCACGTACCTGGAATACAGGGTGGTACAAAATTTTTCCTATTTTAAATTTTAATAAATAACTGTGGAAATACAATACACGCAGTTTTCAATATCTTGTAGTCCAACTCAAACAGTTTTAATTGTCATTTTTTTCACTCCAGTGAGTAGTTTCGCCTTAAAATGGCAACCGTGCAATACAAGACTCAATGCGTTGTTTGGCTTGCAGAGACCAAGTCAGTGACTGTAGTACAGTGTAATTAGAGACGCCAGTGGAGGAAAGAAGTATGGGATATGTGTAGGGTAAACAGTATATCGCAAACATATAGTAAATATCACGGAGCTAAAGATCAGGATACGGACACCATCGCCATTGTAACTGTGGACAAGTTGCAGTGAAGGTGGACTGAAATCAAATATCGGTTAGACGTGTGGTGCACACGTAGAAGTCTACTGGCATGCCAATAAAAACTGTTTGAGTTGGACTACAAGAAGTTGAAAACTGCACAACTGTATTTACTTAGTTATTTAACTATTAAATTTTAAAATAGAAAATATAATTTTGGGCCACCCTGTATATTTCCACCTCGTTCTTGTCAGTCTGTTACATAATATGAAGTGTCATTTCATTTTATACCCCCCCCCCCCCTTTTACAAAAAAAAAGTCTTTGGTTGATCATTGATGACTGGGACATAGACGATAGGTCAAAAGCTCACAGCGTTAATGTGCAATTACTAAATACCATTGTGACAAAAACAAAAACGTCTGACCATTTTCCAGAAACATAGTTTTAAGAAAAGATGACACATTTGTGAATCACAAGCAACCTGAAAACTGACGGCAGTGATGTTCCGTCATCACCTTTAATAAAGATTACAATATTATTTAGCGATATTTAAGTAGTTATTCAATTTTTTATAGTTTACGAAGTTTAACTAGGTTTATATCACTGAACTAAATAGGCCATTTATTTAGACATTAATAGGTGTACCTATGAAATATGTAAATGTTAGTCTAAAAATTTAAATATACAGGTACGTGAAACAACGGAAATTATTCAACATCAATATATTTACCGACCGACCCGTATGTTTAAGGAAAAAAAAATGATAAAGGAATATTTGTTTAGACTGGCCATAGTTACACCAATGGGTGCATGCATGTGTAAATAAACGGCTCGTGTAGATGTAACTGAACAGCAGCACGTGTGACCTTGAGCGTCATTCGGTCAAATCATGCAGCTTTCTAGGTTGTTTCCGTTTTGCAATTTCTCCGAAGTAAGGTTTTTACGAAGTGATCAAAGATTGGAGGAATATAACGACTAGATTATTCGGGTTAGGTTTTACTTAGATAAAGCTTGCGTCCGTGGTAAAAATTCTAGAAATGTTTATTAAGTTTTGTAATGAGAAAAAAAAATATTTCATAAAGTTTATGGGAGTGAGGTGGAGGATTGTAGAATTTTGGTATTCAATTTGAATTTGCTGTCAGTGGATGGTCATATTGGTATTTTATCAAATACTTCGTTACTTTTTCAAAATACTTCTGTTTCTACTTTACTTTAAAGATTGAAAATTGAAGAACCAGTTCATATGTGTGTGAAAAAAACTTTTTGCATTGTCTTTCTCAAATGATAACATAAAGGTAAAAATTCACATTTTCTGAACCGTATATTGTATTTAGTTACCTTGTAAATATTGTTAAGACAGCGGAAGTCACGTGACGCTGGTAACACGTAATGAGTTCTAGAAAGATCGAGGAACATCACGAATAATCCAGTATTTGCTACGCGCCCTCTATTCTTGTATATAAGTGCGCCACCCACACAATTAATCGAAATTAAATTGCAGAAAGGCAGATATAGAGACGAACAATTGAGTCAAACGCTGTAGTGACGTAAATAAAGCGCGTGAGTCGTTCGTTGTGAATTATAGCGTGTGTTTAATTTAAAGTTGCTGTGGAAATTAAGTGTATTGCAAAGTTGAATTGAGAAAGAATAAACTAGTTTTATTTAAGGAAAGACTTGTATCACTGAAGTTTCATCGGAAATAAATTATACGGAAAATTAACAACCGAACACAGAGACGTAACAATATAAATTTTTTGTATAAGGGACATAATTTGGTTTAGTGTAAATAATATTATTAAATATTGTGGCTAGCATTACTCATAAACTGTTTGATTAAAGTATCTTAAAAACTTTCAGGGTTTATTCACAATTTTATTCGGGAATCTCGTATTCTTAAAAGCATTTAAAGTCTGAAGAAATTAGCTGTTTCAGTTAACTTTTTTCTTCTAGCACAGGATACAGATTTTAACTTGGGTGTTTTAACACCAGAGTTGTTACTTTAAAAGGTAACTTATTGGTATCTTGAAATGTCTTGGATACTTGGACATCTTTATGAAAACCTAAAGGTTAGCAGCAGGGCCGGATTAAGGTTTACCGGGACCCTACGCCCAGGTAATATTTGGGAATAAAAATAAT